AGACTGCTCCTTCCCTCTGCTTGTGACCTGCTCAGCTATGTAAGGCCAGAGCTCTTAGCATCATCTGCTCGTGGTCCTTTCTATCCCCTCCTGGAGGCGGTGCCATCACTAGTGTCATCTCTCTGGGTCTGTTACATGATCAAGTGCACATGAATCCTGTTTTATTCTTCAGTGTGGAAACAGAAGCAGGCTGGGCATGATGGCACACAGCTATAATCCCAGAACTCAGGAGGCTGAGGCAAGAGGATATGAGTTCAAGACCAGCCTGAGCCACATAGTGAGACCCTGACTCAAAAAGTCAGAAATAGAGGAGGAAAGGAAGAAAAAGAAAAGTTTTCAAAACTGAGAAAGGACACTGGGTGTCGTGGCACACACTTGTATTCCCAGCACTCAGGAGACTGAGGCAGGAGGATCACTGCAAGTTCGAGGCCAGCCTGGGCTACAAAGGGAGCTCAAAGCCAGCCTGAACTGCATAGCGAGACCCTGTCTCAAAAAAAAAAAAAAAAGAGAAAAGAAGGAAAAATGGAAACAAAGCTTTTGTAAATAAGGAGGGGAAGAGGGGTTGAAGGCAGAAGAAGGGAATGGAGAAAAAGAAGGATCAAGTTATATCCTGCATAGGTACAGATTCCCTATGATGACTGTGATCCTTATGTATACCTAAAATGTACCAGTAAAATTCATTGTCTTTGAAAAAATTCAAAAATAAAAAAACAAATTTAAAAAATTAAAAGAAGCAGTGGAAACCTCCAGCTGCCTAAGAAGGGTCTGCTTTCTGTTAGTCCAGTGGGATTTAAGGGAGTTTTACTGTAGTGCCATCCCTTCCCAGGGATGCTGCAGTCGTCTGTGGCTGTCTGACAAAGTGCCACAAAATGTACCTTCAAGAAACAAGTATTTATTCTCTCAGAGTTGCATTTATTCATTTATTTATTTGTTTTACCTGTTTATTTTTATTCATACATGTTTGCAGTACGAGATGGTCACATTCCTTGTGGGGAGTTGGTGCAGCCGCACGGCACATCTCAATGTTTTCATCCCCTTCCCCTCCCCTTCCCTCCTCCTTCCATCTCCTGGTCCTGTTCCCATTTGCAAAAGATCTACCTCCTTATTTCCTACTATCTCTTATTCTGTTCTTTATTTAAAATTTTTTTTTTTTTTTTTTGGTACCAGGAATCGAACTCACAACCTCACGCTTGCCAGGCAGGTGCTTATGCCACTGAGCTGTGTCCCCAGCCCATTTTATTTATACTTCATGTTTCTTATATAAGAGAAATCACGTGATATTTAAGCATGTGTGTCTGATTTATTTCACTTTAACATTATGGGCTCAACGTGCATCTATTTTCTTACAAATGACTCAAGTTTATCCTTTTTTATGGCACAGTAGTTCTCTATTGTGTGTAAATACCACATTTTCTTTTTTCGTTTTTCTTCTTTTTTTTTTTTTGGTCTTTTTGAGACAGGGTCTCATTATACAGTTCAGGTTGGCCTTGAGCTCACTTTGTAGCCCAGGCTGGTCTCAAACTCACAATGATCCTCCTGCCTCAGCCTTCTGAGTGCAAATACCACATTTTTTAATCCATGCTTCTATGGATGTACATATAGGCCACTTCCAAGCTTTAGCTATTACAGATTGTGCTGCTGTAAACATAGATATGCATGTATCACTGTAATAAGATATCTTTTACACAGGAAGATAGCTAGAAGGGGAATAGCTGGGTCAAACAGAAATTCTAGTTTTAGTTTTTTGAAGAATCCCCATACTGATTTCTTTAGTGGTTGTACTAGTTTACATTTCTACCGACAATGTAGAAGCCCCCTCTCCCCAGGTTCACCAGAATTAGTTATTATTTGATTTCTTTCTGGAATTTCAGTGTCATTTTAATTTGCATTTCCCTAATGGCCAGAGATGCTGAACATTTTTTTCACGTATTTATTGCTCATTTGTACCTATTCTACAAAGTGTGCGTTTCAGTTGCCAATTTTTCGATTCTTTTATTTTGGAAGGATCTAATTTTTCTGTGATATTAGTCCTCTGTCTGAGGAGTAGCTGGAAAAAAATATTCCCACTGTGTAGGTTGTCTGTACTTTGTTGATTATTTCCTTTCCTGTGCAAGAGCTTTTTAACTTGATATGATCCTATTTGTTGATTCTTGACATTATTTGGGCTCTGTTCAGAGAGCTCTTCCTTACGCCTGCACCTTCAAGACTTTTACCCATCTTCTCTCCCAGCAGGTTCCGTTTTGAAATTTAGTTTTTTGATCCATTTTGATTTCAGTTTAGTACCTGGCGAGATATATAGGTCTAGATTCAGTCTTCTACGTGTGGATAGCCAGGTCTCTCAGCACCATTACCTTTCCTATGATGTATGTTTTTGGCCCCTTTGTCAAAGATCAGGTAGCTAAACGTGCCTGGGGTTTTTTCTGCATTCTCTGTTCTGTCCAATGATCCACTTGTCAAAGTGTTTTTGTGCCAGTATCATGCTGTTTACTTCTGTAGCTTTGTATTATAACTTGAAATTCAGGATGTGATGATTCCTGCCTTGCCCTTGTTACCCAAGATTGCCTTTGCTATTCTGGGTCTCTTCTGGTTCCACATAAGTTTTAGGATTGTTTCCTCTCGTTTCTGAGAGGAATGCTGGTGGTATTTTGATTGGTATTGTATTAAATCTGTATGACAGTTGGAGAAGTATGGCCGTTTTGACTCTTGGTTCTGCCTATCCAGGAACAGGGGGTAGCTTTCCATTTTCTGATGTCCTCTTTGATTTTCTTTTTCAGAGTGCTGTAGTTTTCAGTGTGGAGGTCTTTCCTTTCCTTGGTTAGGTTAATTCCTAAGTGTTTGACTTTTCTTGATGCTGTTGTGAATGGTACTGCTTTTCTAATTTTTCTGTATCTCAGAGTTTGTGTGCTTGGAAGTCAGGAGCGGCTTGGCTGGCTGGTTCGGCAGGGGCTGAATCATGAGGCTGGCCGGGGCTGCAGTCATCTCAAGGGCTGACTGGGGTGGAGGATTCACTTCCGATACAGCTCACTTGCATGGCTGTTGGCAAAAGACCTCAGTTCCTTGCTGGCTGTTGGCAAAAGACATCCGTTTCTCACCACACAGACCTTCCTGTTGGGTAAAGTGAGCATCTTCAAGCAGAGCTCAGGTCCGGAAAGAGGCAACTGAGAAGAAGCCACAGTCACTCTGCAGCCAGGCCTCAGAAGGCAGACGCTCGCACTGCCGTTAGAAGCAAGTCATGTGGTGCCGAGTACTCAGCTCTGAGCAGCTCAGAAACCAGCATGTCCTGCCAGGGTGTGGTGGGGCCTCTGTAAAGGCGCAAGAGGTCAGCAGCTTCCGTGGAAGCCCAGCGGGCAGCAAGGGAGCCACAGCGGCTGGCAGAACTACGCCAGGCAGGTTAATGTCGAAGAAGGGAAACGTGGAAGTCATCATTTGACAAAGTCTTACTAATGAGCGTGTTCAGCTCAGGAATAAGAGAAGCTGAAATTGAAAAAAAGAAAAAACGCATGCTAATTATCAGACCAGAAGCACCACTTTATCGAATACTGAGCAGTTGGTATGAAGGGGGAAGGTGAAAGAAATCAGAATTTGAAATAGAAGAATGAAGAAATAAAAATGGAGCTAAGAATTAATCTGTAATCCAAAAGCACCACGCTAAGTAATTACTAATCTGCTTATGTGTACTTGTATATTTTGCTAAACCTGCATGCATTATTTGTTTAATAGAAGAAAATATATACAGGGTAAAGTAGCGCCTTTTAAGGAAAATGTTAAAATCAGGGATCTCCCTGTGCTTCCAGAAGTGGAAGTCCTCACAGAGTGGGGAAATCTGCAAAGCACACCCCAGCTCCAAGGAAGGTCCCAAGTGTTCCAGATCGGAGGCCACACGCTCACAAGAGAGAGAAAGCAGGTCACTAAGGCCATACCACACTCAGAGGCCCAGCTATTCCTGAAATGAAGAGAGTCAAAGCATTTGGGGACATAATCAAAATCACCGATGCCCCCCAGCCAAGGAGCCACAGGGGAAGTGACCCAAGGACTTGATGCACCTCAGCCTCACGGGTTTGCTGTCCTTAAGAGCCTGGGAAATTACGGCCATCAAAGATCACACTTCCCACAAGCACATTTTGCCTGGAGTTACCAATTCCATCCCACCAGGGCCGAGTCTATCCAACTACGGTGTCAGGAGGGTGCAATAATGCAGGGAGTAAGAGCCAAGTTCACGGGTCCAACAGTCCTGAGTTTGAACCCAGGCTCTGCCTCTTCGTCATGTGTCCATGCGAAAATCACAAGAGCCTCCGCTTTATCTACAAAAGTGGGCATAATAATGGGGCCTATCTCAAAGTGTTATGATAGAATTAAAGGAGATCTCAAATGTAAAGGGTGTAACACAGACTGGCAGGCAGGAGGTCTCCACACACACCAGCTAGTCTTAGCGCTCATTCTCGACACCCCGCCACCATCTGCGGCAAGCTTTCTATATTTGAAGAGATGCCGGCCCAGGTTTCTGTTAAATTTTTGTGCTTCCTCTACCAGTGCCTCTTCTTACACAGCGTCCAGATTTGGAGGGATCTGGTCGACCTCTGCCCATAGTTGCACACTATTTCCATTCATAGACAGGCTCCCTTTGAGAGCTGAGGCCAAACTCATCCCTGGGCCAGCTGCTTCTGCTGCTGTTCACTCCAGAGGCCAAGGCAGCAGGAGGTCCAGTCTGCTCATTTCTGATGCACTGGGGCTGGTTCCTTGCAAATCCCAGCACTGGCGGACGTACCGTTTCTATTTTGAGCTACAGGAGGAAACTGACAAGTCGCTTGGAATGGAACCTCAAATCAGTTCAAAGCAAAATGTACTATAAAGAGTCTCCCGGGAAATGGAAAATGTATTTGTTGTACAGTATGGTTTGAGAATTTTTTTAATGACAAAGATTTTGATAGGCTCATATTGCATATTTATGTCTTTAAAGCAATCAAAGAAATCCTTTCTAGTTTACTCTGTTTTCTCTCCAGGTATTTAGTCTTCCTGCAGATCAAAAGGGATCTCTACCATGGCCGCCTCCTCTGTAAAACATCTGACGCTGCCTTGTTAGCAGCTTATATCCTTCAAGGTAATGCCTTTTGATAAGATAAATTCGCTTTTCATGCTCAGTACCGATTACATTATTTCAGTTCTACAGGTGACTGCTTCTTGCATCTAAACTGTATCTAACTTGAAGCAGAACCCAAGTTAAAGGATTTTTGCTGAGATTCCCTAGGGTTAGAAATCGCGGAGCTCTAAGTCTTCCACCCTGCCTGAGGGCTCATTCTCAGGCCCTCTAAGTCCTTCTGACTCTGTGTTGGGGATTAGCCCTGCCCCCTTGGTTGGTATCATTACAGTCACTCCAGAGAGTAATCGAAATCAATTTTGCCCTAGCCTCTCACACTAATCTCAGAGATGTGAAGACTGTGGCATTCTGGCATCTGTGTTAGAGACTATCAGATCAGAGTGCTCGCTCAGTGTTGAAAAAGTTTCAAGTGAACAAGCACACCTCCTAAAGAGCTCATAAGGAAGAGTTGCTCCTTACATGGCTGGCTTACGTGGTTCATATGTTCCTTGCAAAGCAGTGGGAGAGAGATGCACCTCTCACATGCATCTCTTTCTCCTTTCATGAAGTGCTGAGAATGCTTAAGCGCCACTTCTAAACTTCTTAGTCCTTAACCTGAAACTTTCATTACCACTGGATCATTTTAGACCAAAGCACTAAAATCTTGAATTTCCCGTCAAAGAATCCAAACTCTTACTTGGAAATCTGTGAACTCCCAGAAACATCTTGTAAAGAGAAACTGTTTGCCAATAAGAAACCAAGTTCTTTTTGGCAGGAAAAAATATCACAACTGTGTTACGAATGTAAAAGTCAAGCCGGGCGTGGTGGTGCATGCCTCTAATCCCAGCACTTGGGAGGCTGAGGCAGGAGGATTGCTGTGAGTTTGAGGCCAGCCTGGGCTACATCAGTGCGTTCAAGGCCAGCCTGAACTGCATAGCAAGACCCTGTCTCAAAAAGACAAGAGAAAAAAAAAAAAAAAAGGAATGTGATAGTAAGTCCTTGCCATTTTGACTTCTGAGACTCTTGTTTCTAAAATCTACAAAATGGGCAGTTTGGCTGGTGCCTGATAGCTGTAACGTCCCCAGAAATGCCCCTTTCCTTTTTTTAGAAAAAAGCCTGGCCTGCTCTTATTGCAACTTTAAACTCTACTCCTTCCTTCAATTTTGCTCTAATAATCACATTAAATTCTTTTCATTTTTTTTCTTTAATATCCAACATTGATGTTTTCCAGTTGGTGGTTTCTAAATAAAATCAAAATAAATAACTTCAGGGTTCAAAAGTTACCGAAGATTTCAGGGGACAGCTTGCTAAACAATAAAAATTCCCACATTAATTTGGGTGGCACCATGAGTGGATTTGTAATTTAAAAAAAAAAAAAAAGTACAAGGCACAAGCACAAGAGGGTGTGAAGAGGGTGTGTTCTGATGTTTCCTCCTGCCTCTTCTGAAGTGGCATGGTGCCCCCAGGGAAGGACAGAGGGTAACCGCAAAGCAGCTGGACTTCCTCCTTCCCTTCATCACACCCAGCAAGTGCCCTGTGAAGCGCCGTTTCGCATGGAAAGCTGGATTCTGACCTGAACACACACCGTGGAACACACCCCAGGCCCACGGCCCTCCCCCAGGTCACGGATCTGAGACCCCTGGCTGTGTGAGGGATGCGCTTTCTCTGTGAAAGGCTGGAGGAGAAGCCTTGCCACCGACAGGGCACTCAGAAAGCAGCCTTAAACCCTGAATTCAGCAACAGTGTCTGGTTATAGCCAATCTCCCAAGTCTCTGGGCCGCTGGCAGGGCCCCAGCACCTGTTCGGCCTCCAGTAAATATTAAAACGGATTCCTGGGGCTGGGGATTTAGCTCAGAGGCAAAGTGCCTGCCTGGCAAGTGCAAGGTCGTGAGTTCGGTTCCCAGTACTGGAGAAAAACCAAAAAAAAAAAAGCATATTCCTCTGGGTTGATTTGGACAGAGGGTGGAGTCCTCTTGGATCATGACTCATTCATCAACTTGCTTCATCCTTGCAAAAATCCTTGAAATCAGATTTAGACTTCTGACATGGCCCAGGCCCAGGAGGTTCCGTCTTCCTGATCGAGCTCACTGCTTCCTCCTGCACAGATCATCTTCCTGGCCCTTGCCTCAGGACTGAGCTCGAGGACCACAGTGCAGGCTTCTGCTCTTTTATTGCAACTTTCTTTGTGGTGACCTCAGCACACAAGTCAGCTCTCCTGGCTCGCAACTTAAATGTGAACATCAGCCCAGTAGGCACACCTGGGAGAACAAAGGTGGACGTGCTCCTGCGGGCCCAGCCCTCTGCCCGGGGTCACTGTCCCCTCTCAGCCTGAGGCATGCTGCGGATGCTGCTCTGTGTATTAATCTTGCTTTGCTCTGCCAAAGGTGATTCACCTCTCTCCACAATTGTTTTCTTCCTCCTTGCTTTTGAAAGCTGAGATTGGAGATTACGACCCAGGAAAACACCCTGAAGGCTACAGCTCCAAGTTCCAGTTTTTTCCTAAACATTCAGAGAAGCTGGAAAGGAGAATTGCTGAGATCCACAAGACAGAACTCAGGTGCGTGACCGTCACTTCAGGCCCAGGACCCAGAGCCACAGCCCTGTGCTGTGTTCCTTACCTGTGCAGTCTCTGCCACAGCGTGATGGTCCCCGGGCGTTCCTGATCCTGGGATACACCGTTGTCAGCGCCCTGGAAGCGCACCTCGGCCCTGTGGGCTTACTCCCGAGAACGGTTAAGCCTGCTTTAAGCCTGCTCTGTAAGGCAAGAGAAGTTGTATGCAGGGAAAGCTGAGAGGGATCGGCCTTTCAGAGGTGTTTGCTTCCCTGAGATAAATGGAGGGAGAAAAGCAAGAACTAGCTAAAGGAAAAGAAAGATAAAAAGAAAGGGATAAAAGAGGCTAAGGGTGTAGCTCAGTGGTAGAGCATTTCCCTGGCATGCAAAAAGCTCTGGGTTCAACCCCCAGCACTGAGGGGGGGTGGGGGTGGGATGTAGCTCAGTGGTGGAGCAACTGTTCAGCATGGGTAGACCCCTGTTTAATCCCCAGCTCCACAGAAAGAGAGAGAGGGAGGGAAAAAGACAAAGCCTGAGAAGGGATGTAAAAAGTGGCAGACATCTGTGATCGTCTGTGGCAGGTGAGGGGCGCTTCTGGTTGGAAGACGGCCTGCACAGAGCTGGTCCCAGCCTAGAGATGCAGGGGTCCCCAGAAGCATGTTGGCTTGGGGACTGTGTCTCCAGCAGCACACAACTCACCCCGCATGCCCACCTGGAGCCCCTGCCCCTGCACCAAGGGACCCAGAGGAGAGATGGCGTCAAGCAGGGAGGCTCACCCTCCCCAGCCTCTCTGAGTTGCCCAGAATGCGCAGGATACCTCGGAACAGCATTCGTTCCGCCCTTCAGCCACTGGAAGCAGGGCCGTCCACAAAGGCAGCTTGTACAAAGCAGCAGGAGACTGCTGGGCTCCACCTCGTCACCGCCTTGTCACTGCCCCGCACACAGCCCCAGCCCCCCGGTTGGTATGAAGGTCGCAGGTCCCCGCAGTGGAGTGTTGTAAAATAGAACATCATGTCGTCATTTCATTAGCTTTTTAATCTTTAGGAATGTTTGTGTGTTTACCGTTCTAAGGAAGGACTGTGCTCAGGGCAGGACTGTTGCTAATAATACTAAACTTAAACTAGTTCCTGCCCCCACAACAGCATAAAAAACTTCAGAGACGCAAAGGTTCTACCAAGTGTGACCCAAAGCCACCTCAGCCTTTGGAAACAGACCCTCCACATCACATGAGGGGACTGGCCCCTCACTCCAGGGGAGTGGAGGCCCCATCAGAGGGGGGGTCCTGTTTGTTTCCAGCCCTCTCCCAGGCCAGGAAAGCAGGCCCCACGGGTCCCTCCTATCGGTGAGGAAATAGTGACCCCTTGTGGTAAACATCTGAATAAATAGCCAGGTGTGGTAGCGCACACCTGTAATCCCAGCACTCGGGAGGCTGAGGCAGGACAGTCACAAATTTGAGGCCAGCCTGAACTACGTAAGTGAGTTCAAGGTCAGTCTGAACTACAAAGTGAGACTGTCTAAAAAAAAAAAGAGATCCCAATAAACATGGGCCTGTGTAGGGTCTCATGGTTCAAAGTAGCCTACCACACACTTGTAATCCCAGCATTCAGGAGGCTGAAGCAGGAGGATTGCTATGAGTTCCAGCCTGAACTACATAATGAGACTTTGTCTCAAACAAAGCGGGGTGCGTTGGAACTGTCATGTGTTTCCCATGTCATAGTAGTGGGAACAGCCCTAGTTCAAGGCAGGTGTTCCCCTAGGAAATGCTTGCTTTGATGGCCCTGGAGATTTGGGCAAACTTCAGGGGAGAAATGAGCCCACAGGGCCTGCCACCCTCAGACAGTGCACCTGGAAGACACTGGTGCTCTAGCCCCTGGGGACCAGTGCCCGCTATCTGCCACATGGCATTTCCCAGGACCTCCCCTGGCCCGGGGCTCACTGGCAGATCTGCATCAGTAGAAACTAACACCTAGGGGCTGGGGATTTAGCTCAGCAGCAAAGCACCTGCCTGCAAGCACAAGGTCATGAGTTCGATTCCCAGTACCAGAAAAAAAAACTAAAAAATAATAATAATAACACCTAGTGCCTAGCTTCACCATCAGTGTGTAAAGACCTGTCTGCATTTCCTCTGCTGACTCTGGGGGCCCAGGCTGTGTGCCGCGTTCCCCGGTGCATCTTCAGCAGGCAGCCCAGGGGCTGGCACAGGATCGAGGTCTCAGAGGACGCAGCGGGAGCGGGGCCGCTTTGCTGTTGGTGTCTTGTCTGCCTGCCCTGCTATGTCACTGGGGGCAAATGATACTGTCAGAAAAGAGCAGTTGTCAGTCCCGCCCACGGCCAGCACAGCTGTTGACTTCAGGGCCTGCCTGCCCTCCTCGCAGGGAACTGGCGCCACATCTGTAGAAGCTCGTCTGCCGTCCAGGGCTCTGCACCCTGAATCCCTAGTGGCAGCAGTGTAGCATGCCGGCCACTGCCAGGCAGCTGGGAAGGGGTGAGGAAGGGGCGTCTCTGGAGGGCTGGGGCGGGCTTCTCGCCCTCCACACCATATTCCCCGCTTGGTCAGCAAGGCAGCCCCGCCCTTTGAATTTCAGTCTCTGCCGGATCAGACAGGCTGTCTGTGGACTGGAACCATAGACTGTTTGTCCTAGAGTTGAAAGTCATGAAGTATCCCAAAGTCAGTATTTCTGGCTTGCTGAGAAGCACACTCTCTAGCAGCGCGGGGCCCTGCCTGCTCATGGGACTGATCTCAGCCTCAGGAGCAGCTGCGCTTCCCAGTCTGCTTCTGCCCCGCTGCTCCCCACTGCTCCCCACTGCACATGCTCGGCCGGCCCAGGCAACTCCTTCTGGGGCCTCGTTCTGAAGCTGTGAATTCTGACCCTAGACTTGAGGCTGACACTGGTCTTAGAACCCAGTAGGGAGCACACCCTGCAGAAGTGAAGGTGGGTGGCTCTTAACAGAGTTTACCTCGGGGTGGGGTGGGGAGGGCAGAGGAATGCACGGCCCTAAAATCATCCTTTTCCTTATTCCAGTGGTCAAACACCAGCAACATCAGAGCTGAACTTCCTAAGAAAAGCACAGACACTGGAGACATACGGAGTGGATCCTCACCCCTGTAAGGTGAGAGCGTCGGAGAGGAGCGGGGCCGCAGGCCTCAGCCCGCTTCAGTGTGTGCGAGTGGCTCTTCTGGTGACGGACACCAGAGAAAATGTCTCCCGTGGAGAGCTTATGTGCTGCATAATTTCATGGTACCCCGTCAGTGTCAGAGGAACCGAGGCAAAGTCCGTCTAAATAACAAATCCAAAACACAGGGCCCACTTTGGCAGCCATGGGTAATTTGGTGGAAAGGAAGAGGAGGGATGTGGAAGGCGCCCCGCAGAGAATGACTGGAGACAGCCTGGCGATCGCCCACTCTCCTGACCCGTAATCTCGTTTTATCCCCAGAGTGGCTTTTATTGACTGCAATGGTATAAGTCACCATGCAGAACTGCGTGGGACTCGCATTTAATCCCATTACGTGCCTCGGAGCGGGAGGCAGGACCCAGGGCAAGCCCCTGTAATTACTCACCTGGGTCTGGCATTCGGAAAGAGGTGTAGGGCAGCCCAGTCACTGCTGAGCAGCGGGACCAGGGCCTCTTCCTGTCCCACTGGCCACATCCCTGCATTGCGTCTCCCGTCCCTGTTGCTTTGGCGCCTCTGGGCTCTGGCTCGGTTTCCCCACAGTCTGCCTTTCTTTCTGCTCCTGGAGAGGGCAGACTACCACAATCAAACCAGCTGTCCAGCTGATCTGAAGGCGACAGCACCAGCCGGGAGCTGGGCCACACAACCTTTGCAGTCTGACAGATGGGGACACTCAGTTTCAAGGAAAAATCAGAACATGATGCGTTACTTTCCCAGGGCTGCTGTAACCCAGTATCAGACGAGGTGGCTTAAACAACCAAGGCTTACCAGGGGCCTCCGGGTTGGTGGCTTCTGAGGCCCTGAGGAGAGTATCTGGTCCCTCCCTGGGTCTTCATGTTGTCCTGCCTCTGTTCTTGCCTGTGACAGATTGTCCCCACTTGTAAGGACACCAGCTGTATTGGAGTAGGTGGGGCTTATACTCGAGCCCCTCCCTTTTAACCTCTATAAAGACCCTGCTTCCCAATAAGGTCACATGTTGTGGGCGGGGTTGTGAGGACTTCAGCAAGCAACTTGGCAGGGACACAATTCAAGGCGCAGCCGACAGAATAAAAACTAAGGAGCACAGCGAAGTGGGAACAAAGCAGTGTCTCCCTCGGCCTGTAGGTGAGCTGACGCTGATTTGGCCTCGCTAGGGTTTACTGTGAGCCTTGAGAACATGCCGGCATGCAGAGACCCTGCTCATTGTGCCCACCCCACAGCTCGCCCCCCACCGCGCAGTCCACACCCAGATAACCCCCGGATGCTTGGGGCCAGCAGTGCCAGATAACACACCTATGCCTGCTCCTGCCAAGGAATTCACATCCGGATATTTACACGCTAGCGCAGCTTCCTAAATAATGTCCCTAAAACAGAAGTAATTTGAAGCACTCCATCAACTGCTCAGACACTCCCGGGAGCAGAGCGAAGAGTGGAGGCAGCCGCGGCCCTGCACAGAAGCCCTGGTCCCCCACTTACTGGGGCCTTTTGAGGCTTCCAAGCCGTACTTTCCTTACCTGTGACTAAGTACGCAGTAGGTGTTCAATAACTGCTCTGCTTCCACACCTAACGGTGCCAGATCACCTCTGGGTCCAAACCTTCCCGTCCCCTTAAAGCCAAACATACAGGTGGACCGGCAGTGACCGGAGTGTGACAACCGACTGAGGTAGATAGGATTCTCTACTGTTGCCCATGGGTATCTGGAAAACAGCTGTCATGGCAGCCAGCCTGGTACCCAGCACAGGGAGGTTAGAGGGGAGCCAGCGTCCATGCCTGGTGTACGGTGCAGTCCCGGGTATCGCAGCACCAACCCCTGGAACGGAGGGAGGTGGGGGGCAGTGTGTGGCCCACTTTCCACAGCGCGCCCGTGCTTGCTCTTCTGGTATTTCTCGCTGAGTTCTCAGCCAGCCTTGTGGGGTGAATGTCATTCACCGGAGTTTATAAATGGGAAGGCTCAGAGTTCACAAGGCCCGAGGCAGGCCTGAGTTGCTTGCTGGGGGTGGGGTGTGTACCCTACACAGAACAGACGCTCCCGAGGAGACCCCTGGGGAGAAGGTGAGAGCAGTCATCTCGCTGGGCCTCCACCCTGTGTTCCCGGGCCCTGGGCCTCTGCTCTCACACAGCCCTCTGGCAGCTCTCCACAGGCTCTGGTGATGGCTTCCTCGGTCCTCCCCGCCCAAGCAAGCAGAGCGGTGAGGGAGCCTTTCCTCTTATCACTAAGTAGAGTCACTTCAGAGATGTGCTACCAAGCGCGCCCCTTAATGTTCTGAGGCGCGCTCGGTGTAATAAATACCGATGATTTCTATTAACAGAGAGGCAATTACTGGGCCCAGAGAATCTGGGGCACGCAGCCCTAGGGAGGACAGAAGAGGAGGAATCGTTCTGATAATTAAATGAGAGCAGAACAACACGGGCTGGGCTCCGTTCTCCTGGACTGATTAAGAAGCTGCAGTGTGTCCTCGTGCTGATGGCTTCTTTCTGCCCAGAGTGTGCTTTCCTGGTCCTGGGACCAAAAGGAGGAACTCGAACAAACCCCGCAGGGGCAACTGGAGCACACCCAACTCCAAATTGTACCAGGCTCCCAGGGGCCCAGCCATGCAGCTGTGGAGAGGAGAGTGTGGCCCATTGCTGCTCTGTCCCCGTCCCTGACAACCTCTGACCTCTCAGAAGCTGCCGTCTTGTTCCTTCCAAGCTGGCCCTGAGGCTGGTTTTTTGCTTTGATCTCCTGGGCAAAGGTCACATTCAGAGGGCCTGGGGGTTAGGACGCAGCTGGTCATCCCTGTTCAGGCTCGCGGAGTAGTTACCTCATCACACACACCCAGCCCACACCAGCCTATATTGTGAGCCTCAAAGGTCCCACTACTGAAAGCCTGCACGTGCCTGGCACCTCATACACAGGCTCAATTAATCTTTACCACGTCACTACCAAGAAGATATTCTTGTCTTCATTTGAGCCTTCGAAGGTGGAGATAATAAAAGATGTGAAGGGGATAAGCTAAAATGCCTAAAGTTCCGAAGTTACTAGTGAGGATTTTTTTTTTTTTTTTTTTTTTTTTTGGTTTTTCTCGGTACCGGGAACCGAACTCACGACCTTGCGCTTGCCAGGCAGCCGCTTTTGCTGCTGAGCTAAATCCCCAGCCCCAAGTGAGGATATTATTTCAAGTTACAACCGGAGCTGCAAGGGTCTCAGGGCTATGTTTTTTTTTCAGTTACCCCTCATGGTCTTCCTTCTGGAGAGGTGACATTTAGGAACTAAGCATGGCCCCCTGCCAATTCTGATACAGAGAAGACACAGACTTATAAGATTTCTAGAATCATCATATAAAATTTAATGTAAGTTCAGCAGTATATGTCTGCTCTGAATAGACCAGGAAAGAACTGGTTTCAGCTGAACCTAGATTAGACCACAAAAATAAAATTGCACTGCCGGGTGTGGTGGTTCATGCCTGTAATCCCAGCCCTCGGGAGGCTGAGGCAGGAAGATCACCATGAGTTTGAGGCCAGCATGGGCTACATAGTAAATTTAAGGCCAGCCCGAACTACATAGCAAGACCCTATCTCAAAAAGCCACCCCCCCAAAAAAAAAAAACAACAACCCTTGCTCCATCTTGACAAGTTGCTCCTGACTTCAGAGGAGCAGGACGGGATGAGCGGCAACTCTCCTTCCCCCGGGGGAGCCCCTCGTGGCTGTGCTGTAGGGAGGCGACAGACTCACCTCTGAAGGGAAGAACTTGACCTAAGCCTCTCAGATGGCGAGTTTTCACCGAGAACTTCCTTTCTCAATTGTCCCGGGTTGCGCTGCCGCCCGCTCTTCATTCTGCTCGAGCTTCTCTGGTCACCTGTCATCATGCTGAGCCTCCCAAGCCCCAGACAGGCAGCTGGCTGTCTCGTGCCCTCAGCCCCACCAGTCCCATGATCCGGGGTCGTGCCGCGGCCCTCGTCTGTTGGCACAGGAAGTGTTTGGAGAAGCCTGTGCGGATGAGACTGGGTCAGGATGGTTGAAGTGCCAGAGTTACTCACTGGAGTGACACAGCTACTCACTGGGGTTTATTCGCAGTTCACCCCACTCCAGGTCAGCCCCATGCGGTCTCAGCTGCTCCCCTCCACCCCAGCCCTGCCTTCCCCGGAGCTCCCCGAGGGGTCTGCACGCCACACCCAGCCCTTCTCTTCCCTTTGCTGTGGCCAGAGGGATGCCAGTAACGCACAGCGCGTAGACCGCCCTGGCCCAGCTTCTGGTCGCTCCTCCTGCACTCACCTCAGATTCCCCATCGGCAGATGCTTCTCCATGGCGCCCTAGCACTGACTGGCTTCTCCTTGCCTGTCCTCCCTTCGCACACTCATTTCCTCACTAGCACAACTGAAGTCTGTCAGTATCAGGGGAAAGAATAGTAGAATGTTAGGTGTTTTTATCCAAAGGATTTGTATTAAGTTCAACAACTCAGCAGCTATAACAACACGTCCGTTAATGTTCTTGGGTGCCTACTAGGCGTAACTTGCGAACTAGGTACTTCCAAGCCCGATGTGACAATGTGCAATCGGAAGCCTGGGGAAATTAGGGACCTGTCTGTGAACACACAGCCTGTGGCCCAGCCAGACGGCCTGCCAGGGCTCTCCCAGAGCCCACGGCACTGTGGTCCCACGCAGAAGCCTCCTCCCAGCCGCGCCATCTCCCTGCTGCGCTCCATGTCTCTGCACTGCCAGATCCACTTCCACGGCCCGGCCCTTCCCTCCTTCCCACTGTGCTTCCTTCCGGCCTCTCCCGTCTCAAAGAGCACCGCAAGGCACCCTCCCGTCCGTCTCTCCGTGCGCCCCTCACTGGCTCACAGATGCCGCTCTGTCCCGATTCAGTGTTACATCCACTCGGTCCGATGAGCGTTGCCCCGCAGCCGTGCTCTAGTCTGTTGCCAGTGCAGTTAGGTCTCCACCCTGGAATCTGTCTCTTGTCTTTCAAAGCCCACAGTTGTAGGATCTTCTTAGGTCTGGCATGACAGTGCACAGAAATCTTCCCAGGGCCCACCTCTGCCGGAGGCAGTCTGCCTGCCTCACCTGCCCCTCGGCCTTTCCCCTCCGAGGCCGCGCTGCCTGACCCACATCTCGCCAGCCTAGCCCGGGACCTCCTGGCAGGAAAGTGTGTGCAGTGCCTGGTCCTCAGATATTAATAGCTACCGCCGAGCCCTGATGGGAAGCAGGAGGCCCAGACCTGTGGCGGCACAGCGTCTCCATCCGTTATTTTTAAGTGTTTTGCTGTGCCTGTAGGTTACGACGCTGAGCTTGCAGCCAAATGCTGCGTCTCAGAGCTTGACAGACCCTGAGGAAAGGACAGTGATAGCCAGACATTCATTAGAATGGTTACAAAACCTGTGCTTTAATTCACTCCCTGCACCCAGGGGCTCTTGCAAACCCTGACTCCAAGGGCAGCTCTGAGGCAAATCTGCACAATTCCCTGAGGCGAGGCCCAGGGGCACTGGACCAGCCAGGCTGAGAATCCACACCAGCGTGGCAAGCCCTGAAGGCAAGGCGACGGGGAAAGCAGGGGCCTGAATTCACAGCAGCAGAGCTACAGCCCGGAAGCCTCTCCTCAGGCACATCCCACGAACTTCGCAGCAGCTTCCTGGCCGTCTCTGCCGCTGCCCCTGTGGCAGATTCTGTCCCCATCACGCCTGTGACGAAGGGAGCCCCTGAGTGGGCACACCCTTCAGTCTGCCTCTTCCTTCTGGAGCCGCTTTTTCCACTTGTGGAACCTGTGGCCTAGGTCTTCTGGAACCCTCCCCACCCTGCTCAGCACAGCTCCAACATTAGTGGCTAAAACACTGGCCTGGTGGCCAGGAGCCCCTCTCTGCTGCTCCCTGCACCTCAGGGTGGCGACTGTCCCCCGGCCAGCTGCTGCGGACTTCTTCAGCTGAGCTTCCCTGAGGAAGCCCAGTGTCAAGAGGACCATCACCATAATAACTGCGTCACTCACTCTTTAATAGCAGCTTTCTGAGATATAACTCACGTATCATAAAATTTAACCTTTAGTGTGCAAGACAGTGGCTGTTAGTATATTCTCAGGTACCTATAACCATCCCTGCCATCTAATTTGAGAACATTTTTATTAACTCCCCCCCCCCAAAAAAACCCTATACCCATTAGCATTCATTGACCCGTCTCTTTCCCCCAGCCCCTGGCAAGCAGTAATCTCTTTGTCTCTATGGATTTGCCTCTTCTGGACATTACATATAAACAGCATTGTTCCACTTCCACTGTCTGATAACTGGCTTCTTTCACTTGCTGTGATGTTTGCAAGGTTCATAAATGTACCACCAACCAGCACTCTGTTCCTTTTCACGGCTGAGCAATATTCTACTGTCCCACAATGCACTACTCTCTTACCCGCTGATCAGGTGATAGGCACTGTCCACAGAAAAGTGGGTTGGGTCGCCTCCGCGGTCTGGCTGTGACTGTAGATAGTGCTGTCTTAACATGTGTGCATGGTTTCTGTGTAAACGTACTTTCCGCTCTCTGGGACACACAGCGAGCGTGGAATTGGGGCATCACAGGTCGTAACTCTGAGTTCAGTAATGTGAACTTGCAAACTGTTCTGCAAAGGCATTGCGCCACTTTACAGCCCCACCAGCAATGCGTGAGGGTCCTTTTAGATGTTCCTGACCACCTTCTAAGATTGGAGTCGCTGTCACCTACAACTTGAGGGTCAAGGCTGTGGGGCTGAGTAAGTGTGCTGCTGTCACGCAGGGTCGGGGGGGGGGTGGCAAGGCTGAGACTGAAAGGCCCTGCCCTTCGCCCTGTGACCGACGGCCAGGGAGGCCCTGCCTCCCTTACGCGCAGCCACGTGTCTCACGCTGCCACCTCTGCGCCCACATCACCCGGTGAGAAGTCTTTCTGTGTTGCAGGATGTGTCAGGAAATGCTGCGTTTCTGGCCTTCACTCCTTTTGGGTTCGTCGTTCTTCAAGGAAACAAGAGGGTCCATTTCATTAAATGGTGAGTAGCTTCATTTCCAAAACAAGCTCTTTATCCTCCATGCGCTGGGGTGGGGCTGTGGCGCCCGTGTCCTTTGTCTGTGATTGGGAATGAGGGTTTGGAGCGCTCTGCAAAGCCTTGGGTTGAGAGTGGCGCTGGATGGAGGTAGCGGTCTCTTCTTAGCCGTCCTGTTCTCCCGACAGGGAATCCCTGACAGCCAGCAGCCTCTCCAGAGAAAGGGTTTGGAGGTTTGGTTTCTGAGGAGGCCCAGGGCTGGGACTAGTGTGAGAGAAGCAAAATTCGCAGACCTGAGTCCTCCAGGCCATCACCTGCCAAGGGCCGTGGCCACCCAGCTCCAAAGTTGGCCCAGCCTCTTGCCCGCTCTGCTAACAGGGAGTGGCTCACACACAGTGGCCACTGGGCCTGTTACACTCAAAGCTCCCTCCGCAGGCCAGTGGGCCCACAGGCGCTCAGATGCCACCGACTCACTCCTGTCCCTCTTCGGCCAGGACTTAGCTGTCCTCGTCCTGTAGAAATCACAGCCCCACATTTCCCTCCTTCCCACCCCTCTCCCCACTCCAGCTTCTAGTGGGCAAGAGCCAGTGCCTCAGCTGCAGTGACTGAACCACTTCTTTTACCTGTCCTGTTTTTCTTTTTCTTTTTGCGGGAGGCCTGTTCTGCTGTACGGCTGGGCACAGGCTCCAGTGTGTGGCCTGACATTTAAATATCCTGGAAATGTTGGCTGACCTGCGCAGATCTCTGTCAGCCTCCCCAGAACACTTTGATATTCCCAGCCTCCAATTCCTACCTGCTGGGGCCTCTGCCTATCATGTCCAAGCTGATGGCTCCTCTGGTGGCCTTGGCTAACGGCTCTCCTGTGTCTGGGAAATTTGCTATCACCTTTAGTTCTCCAGCAGATCTAGTGAGGAGGCCGAGTACAGACCTGCTTCTTGGTAAGCTCTCCCTGCGTGCTGCAGCCTCTCACCTCCTCTGCCTTCCTCGGCTCCCACCGAGCTGACGAGCAGAACCCAGCAGCTTTTCCAACCCAGACTATTCCTGTGAGGAAAGGCAATAAAATGACCAACCGTGTGCCTCAGAAATTGCTCCTCAGACTTGTAAAGCTGGGTCCCCTTCACAAGGCAGCCAGCGCAAGGGCGTTGCTAACCAGCCTGTTTCAGAGACTTCCTGGGCCACATCACTCTGCTCTCTGGGTGAAGATGCGAGGGCCTGTGCCCTCCAGTCCAACAAACTCCTTTTCAGAAAAAGATGATAAGCAGGATCTGGCCACCTTCTCCTCGTGTGGGTCATTTTCCGCCTGGATGCCTCCCGGGTATGTGATAGGCCTTAGAGGGCCGCACTGTGACCAGGTAGCTTTCTCGTGAGGTCCCCGTTAGGGGGCACGGCCAGCTGGAAAGTAGGACGCACCTGCTGCAGACCCCTGCAGTCCCTAAGTTAGTTCTACCCGAGAAACCACTCCACCCCCCTACTTCCCCCAGCCCTGTTCTTTCTTCAGGAAGTCTTCTTCACCGTGTCTCAACTTTATAGTAACAATCTTGCTTCCGGAGCCTCGATGATCTGTGTGCTTGCCTATATATTAACCACTGGACATTAACTGTATTCCGTGTGAGTATGAGAGTTGGATGACTGGTTGCCTGATTGAGAGGGAGAATGAGAAGTTGTCGAACAGAGAGGGGCTGCCTTATGGTGGTCAGAAGCTGTGAACGGTCATCCCGACCCGGCCATGATTTCCCAAATCACAAAGAACAAGAGATTGTCTTCTCCCGTGCCTTTTGTCCAGCAGTAAGTTGGGCGCATGGTTACTGCCTTTCTACCGCTTACCAGGGTATGGAGGAACCTCCCCAGAAACTACAAAGAACCATCAGCCAGGGGAGGGAGATGTATGACCAGACCTCCTGGGAGGTCTCAGCTGAGCAGAGAACTAAGAGCTCCCCCGAGAGCGAGGGCTGTGCAGCTGTTGGGGGCAGCGCGCTGGGCAGACAGAAGGGGAGCTGAGGGGTGACGGACACTGCGGCCTGCTTCTCTGGCTCTCAGGCACAGCCACTGTGGGCCTCAGTCATTTTCCCACTTCGTCAGTGTAACCCAGGCTGAGAGCAGTACGTGGAGGTGAGGTCTAGGTCGTGCCATGTACAGTAACCGTGTCACTTCTGATTTGTGTCTGTCCCGCGGGTGACGTACCCCAGTATCCTGTTTGCCTCTTTTACTGCAGCCATTCACTGGGCTGGTGGCTTCAAGGATTTTTCTACAATAACCCCTAAGCCCCTTTCCTGGTCAGTACGCTGCATGACTGTTCCATGTACTCTGTTCTCTCTTTGGTATGTTGCCCCTCCCTGAGACTGTTTGACATCTGTCTGCATTAAGCTGCATTTTCCATCCAGTGGCACAGTCACCTCAAAGACTCGACTCCCTCAGAGCCTGGTTGCATTGTACTTCATTATTCGGTGTATCTTGAACTTTGGCCTCATCAGCTGCCTGTGGCATCTTACATCTGACAGTCCCATCCAGATAATGCACCTGTGTATGAACCAAATCCTGAAATGATCCCAAACACTTTACCTAGACTCACTTCCCATGCAAATGTCTCCCTTTTACAGCCACTGTGGATGAGCCTGAAATCCTCCTATCACCCTATTACTATAGTGTGATTGACCAGAACACTTTGGATTGAACTGTTCCAACAACTGTTCTCTAAGGCCACTGCGCTGTCTTGTTTCGGTTCTAATTTTGGCTACAATTGTGTCTGTGCCTGGAGCCCCTTCCAGTTCGGATGGGCTGTGCATCTGTAAGACTTAACAGTGAACCAGAAGCCCACAGTGAAGCAATAGGTACTCTCTTTGTGCTTCTAGGAATGAGGTGACCAAGCTGAAATTTGAAGGAAAGACTTTCTATTTATATGTAAGTCAGAAAGAGGTGAGTGCTGGCTTCCTTCTCTTCGGGGCACTACAGTGGTTCTGTGGCCAGAGCCAAGCCTGAGGGCTCCAGGTAGAGCTCAGCCACAACCAGCTCAAGATCTAGAGGTGAGAGGGCAAAGGGTGGAAGGTTCCAGAGCCAGGATTCCTCAGGGATGCTGATGACACGCAGAAGGTCACTAAGAGGTCCCTACCTCCAGGAACTGTGTGTGGTCCAGAGTCAGATTCTTTACTGGATGTGGTGGCACACACCTGTGATCCCTGTACTCGGGAGGCTGAGGCGGGAGGATCACCATAGGATCAAGGCCAGCCTGGGCTACATAGTGAGTTCAAGACTAGCCTGAACTATATGGCAAGACCCTGTCTCAAAAAACAAAAACAAAACAACGTGAAAGTCAGATTCTTTTTGTTCCATATGGAAATTCCAGATGCAAGTGCCACTTCTCAAGGGTTCTCCTGGTCCAGCCTGTGCCCCCCGAGTCTTACTCTGACTGGACTTGTCAGGAGTGAGGTGATGCCCCAGTGGGTCCTTCAGAAGGGTCCTTCTGTCCGGCTGGCCCACTGCTGTAAGGGGCCTCCCGCAGCTCAGGGTCCAGGTCCTCGGCTGCTTTACCTTCATTTCTTCATCCACACTCAGCCATTTCTATGTGGAATTTTTTCAGGAAAAGAAAATTATTCTCACATATTTTGCTCCAACTCCAGAAGCCTGCAAGCACCTCTGGAAATGCGGAATCGAGAACCAAGCCTTCTACAAGTGAGTGGACACAGGTGATGGGAGCGCTGAGGCAGAGTCACAGAAGCTGCTTTTAGAGGGAGGAGGACAGGCAAACCTTGAGAAAGGAGACATGAACACGGGAGATTCCTAGTAAACCTCAGGCAGCTTGCTGGGTCCTGTGCCCCAGAGGGTACGGAGCCAAGCTCTGGGCATACATTCTACCAAGCTGCCGGGGGCCCACCTTGAACAGCCTCTGGGAGCACAGTAATTCCCGTCTTTTGGGGGTAAGGCTTGGGCCAGAAAAAGCAAGTCATGTCTGAGTTGAACCAGGGTGTCCCAGAGACCGTTCAGAGCCTTGGAAAGTATAAAACAGTTCCTTAAGGGACCAGGTAGAAGCCACAGCAGCTCCCTGGTCCAGACCCAAGCCCCAGGCCTGGAGAGACTTGGGTCTGTCACTCCTGGTGTGTCACCACTACAGGTGTTGCACCTTGGGTAGTATGGCTGGAGCTGGGCAAGGGCCTGGCTGACACTAAGAAATAAGGTTGAGGACAAAGGTAAAATTTGCACACAAAGGATTTCACGCAGTGCGGGAGGCTTCCGTGTGCCTTTTCTTTGATTAAGAAAGGGGTTATAAAAAACACTGGGGAGCACAGAAATGGCCCATAGAGAACCTGGGGTGGGGGGCAAGTAAAATGCTTCGCTAAACCTCTTGATCTTTTTGTAAAAATAAAATAATGGATTATATGTTAATAAGATGTTTCTTGCTGGGTGTGGTGGTGCGTGCCTGTAAGCCAGCTTACCTAGGAGGCTGAGGCAGAGGACCATCAGTTCAATGCCAGCCCAGGCAACTTACCAAGACCCTGGCTCAAAAATAAAAAAATTGAGGCCAGGGATTTAGCTCAGTGGTGCAGTGCCTGTCTGGCAAGTGTGAGGTCCTGAGTTCGATTCCCAGTACAAAGAAAGAAAAACGAAGAGAGAAAGGAAGAAAGAAAGGAGGGGAGGAGGGAGGGAGGGCTGTGGGGTAGCTCAGCACTACAGTGCTTGTCTAGCATGCAAGAAGCACTGGCTCCAACCCCCCATAGCGGAAGAGAAAAAAAGATGTTTCTTAAGACAGGCAAGACGGGTCCACCTTCCAAGATTCGGATTGTGGAGAGATCAGACTTGCCCTGAACTGACGGGGCACCGTCCTCCTCCCAGGAACAGACTCTGCTACCTGCTGGCTGCTCCAGAATCCCAGCCATGGACCCGGGTTGTGTTCTGGGCAGGTGCATTTGACACTAGCTCCAAGGGTGAAGTCAGCCTACACCCGTTCTAACCTGAATGGCTCCCTCCTGCCGCATAGGGGGACACGCCCGAGACTAGCACGGTCACATCTCCTGCTCGGTCCCTGGTGTCCAGAGAAAGCCAAGGAGATACTTTTTCTTTTCCTACCACCTTCCTTTTGCCTTGGTTTGGCCAGTTACATGCACTTGCAGAAAGCAGCTTGAGAGACAGACACCTGCTGTGGGGCTGAGCCGCCCCCTGCAGCATGCGGCCCCTGGTTCACTGGCTCTGTACTGAGCTCCCGCTGTCCTGGGCACAGTGCACCTGTCTCTGCTAAAACGGGCTAATACAAAAGGAAGCAACCTCTCAGCCTCTGCGTCTTCATGCCCCCAGTACCTTTTCTTACTTATGGCCGTCATTTGTCCATCTGCATCATGGAACAGAGGTTTGCTTCCGAATCTGTGACCAGACTCAGCATGGAGTCTTTCCAAGAGCACCAGCCCCGCTGACACACACACTGGACACTGAGGTCCTCCACTGCTTCCAGCGGTCTCCTTCGTGTCTCAGTGTCAACAGCTTCTAGCCTGGGTCAGAACCCCAGTGACACTGATTCTTCGGGAGCAGCCACTTTGACCTTGTCCTTGATGTCTCGCACGTGTAGGTCTCCAGTCCTTCCTTTGGCCTATGGCTTCGTGCACTGAAGGAGCCTGGGTCTGACTTCAGAATATGCTCAGGCAAAGGGCCAGGAAGTTGGGTCCTCACAGAGCTAAGTACTCACTTTCCACTCATGGCACAAGCTTCAGACCCACCTTAGTCCCTGACTGGCTCAGTACCACAGATACCTGGAGGTGTTGCAGTGAACCCAATCTTGGGAGACCCCCCTGGGCAGCTCTGCTCAAGCTTCCCAGACAGGACACTGGCATCAAATACTAGGACTGGAAGGGACCCTTGAAGTCATGTAGTCTCAGCTTCATCATTTTACAGAGAAGACGACTGAGACCAAGAGACGTCACGTGCTCCTAAGTGGCCTGGCTGAGAACACATGGATGGCATTCTGTCATTCCCCTAGACCATCGGCCCAGACGTCCATCCTTTCAGTCCTGCTGGTCAATCCCATGAGCCTTCTTGGGGATCCTTCACTGTCCTGACATTACGATGTGCTCCAGATGACTGTCCCAGGCACTGAGACGGGAGGGCAGCTGGCCGTGAGCAGTCTTATCCTAAGTGAGAGTCAGAGACAAGGGTGGGCTAGAGTGGGCCTTTTCTCGAAGTTTCCTAAGTAGTGTTTGAAAGGAGCTGATGTCCTGCCTTGCATGGCAGAGGCTGGGTGGGTGCACACCGTTAGTCACACTGAGTTTGCTTTGCTGCAGGCTGGAGAAATCAAGCCAAGTCCGCACGGTGTCCAGCAGCAATTTATTCTTTAAAGGAAGCCGGTTCCGATACAGGTAAATAGTGACAGTAAGTAGCCATTATGGACCTACTTTCAGACCTCCGCTGAAGAACAGTCACTAAGTGGGCCTCATCCTGGAGGACAGAGACATGGGAACTCTCAGAAAAGCTGAGAGTGAGGTTCCCGCCCAATTTTCCCATCTTCTGACCCTCTTGCTATTTCTTTCCTTCCCAGCTCTTTGTCTGTAGAGTTTTATGTGTGTCTCATTTCTTCTTTCTCTTACAAATGTACCGAGAACCCTAATGATTCTTTTCATGTCTTGCTGTGTAAAGGGTTTTGCACTTATTTTTGGTTCTGTTATTTGAAACATGTTGGGCAGGGAGGAATCATTCCTAAATGAAAATGGAAGGCCCCAGAGACTCTCTAAAGATAAATTCATGCCATTTTAGAACTTTTTACCCTAAAAGCAAGCTTTCCTGAGTGACCACAGCACTGGGAAAGGGGTGACTCAAAGGAGCCATTTCACTACTTGGCCAAAGCGTCGGAGATCTTGGCAAGGAACCCAGTCCTGGAACACTGACTCATTTTTGCTCCTTCTTTTCATTATACTACTTACAGTGGCCGGGTTGCAAAGGAGGTAATGGAATCAAGTGCCAAGATCAAACGAGAGCCACCAGAAATACACAGGTAGGCCGCCGGGGATTCCCACAAAGCCAGCTATGGCTCAGATCCCAGAATCTCAAAAGATCTAGCAATCTGAGTTCAGTGAAGTTCCTGGCTACACTGACTACCAAAAAGGGCCAGAGCGGGGTGGGTAAGGCAACCTGTTCCTGCATGGCAGAAATGAAGCAATGGAGGGCAGGCCATCTGCAGACTCCCCCAGACCTAGGTGCCACCGCACTCCGATTCCTTTCTCCCTTCCACAGCTTAACACTGACCAAGGCCCGTGGAGGATGTGACAAAGTAGCAGCAGTCATCGCTTCAGAAGCCAGAGACTGTGCTCACTCTGGCAGCTCATATATTAAAGTTGGAAGGATACAGAGAAGATTAGCATGGCCCCTGTCGAGGATGACACGCAAATTCGTGAAGGGTTACATACTTTACCTTCCTTCCTTAAAAAAAAAGCCAGGGGCATCCTAACTGACTTGCCTCATGGGGTCAAAGACAATTTCAGGATGTGTGCCTCATGTATACACCTAAATCATGCACTCCCGCAGCCCACCTCGTGGAACCTGGTAAGGCTCAGAAAGAACGTGACTGGCCAAGAAGCCTGGGGTCTGCCAGCCGGCCTCCGCCTCCCAGTGAGAGCTGTACTGCCCGCCCTCCACACACAGCCAGCCCCTCTTGGCGGCCTCTGCTGGAAGTCAGGAGGCTGCCAGAATCAGTCTGTAGACAGGTTCAGTTCTGCTCACCCTGGAGCCCTACTCCCTGACAGTCCTGCCCCGAGACGGGCGTCACTGTGGCCACACTGAGAGGTTCAGACAGACGCCGGGCTTGCGCCTGTAACCCCAGACCTCTGGGAGGCCGAGGGAGAAGGATCACAAATTCAAGCTTATGCTGGGCAACTTAGCAAGACCCTGTCTCAAAATTTAAAAACAATTTTAGAAAGGGCTGGAGATGTGGCTTAGTGCAAAGGCCACGGGTTCTATCCCCGGTACCACCACACACACACACAAATCGGGTAAGGCTGGGAAATAAGGAGGTGAAGGTTTGAACAGTCTCTGACTGGGATCCAGGGGCCAAAAGCAAAGAGAAGGTACTAAAGGTTTAAAAAAAAAAAAAAAAGGAAGGACCCAAACAATATAGCCAAGCAGCTTCCATAGATGCTGCCACTTTTTCCTGTGCACTGAGTGACCTGGGCTCTTTCCCTTTAACCTCAGAGCAGGGATGGTTCCCAGTCGGAGCTGCCCCTCCATCACCCACGGGCCCCGGCTGAGCAGCGTCCCCAGGACCCGCAGAAGAGCCGTGCACATCTCCATCATGGAAGGTGAGCCGAGCTGGGACGGGGCTGGGCTCTGCCTCCTGCGCCTAAGCAGAAGGGCCCAGGGTGAGGCATAAGCGTTTACCCTACGGAGGGGACCCCAGCCTCCTGGAGGACAGCGGGGATCCCACCCAGACCTGCTGTGCTGTGGTCTGAGACAGGGGTAGAGCGAAGGGACTGGGTTAGTCCTGCACTGGGCTCCATGTGCCCTGTCTAGACCCGGCAGCCTCCCGAGCTCGTGCGGTCAGGGTGCTGACACAGCTAAGAAACGAAAACTGCGGGTTCTGAAGTTGTCCCATAGCTCCTACCACCTGTGCTTCAGCTGTAGAAATCTGCCTCATCTCTCTCCACTCTGCCCTCTCGTTGGGAGAAGGGGATCTGGGAAGAGAGGAGCTGTGTGCCTCATCACTGACCAGATCACCCCGCGACTGGGTAGGCAGGCAGCTAGGAGGCACGTTCAGAATCCTGCCCTCTCCTGTCACCGCTGACCTGCTTCCCAGGCTGGACACGGATGTAAAGTTCACTGCTTTCCTTCTCAAAGATGGGGTTTTGTAAGACCTCTCAGAAGACATCACACAGCAGGAAAGAACAGGATTGCTTCAGAGCTTTTTCTGCTGCAATCAAGAGTGAGGGCTGGGAAGGGAGGCCCTCTGCCCTTCCTGTGGGAATCTTGTCAATGAAAATGGGAACTTCCGGGCATGGTGACGTACACCTGTGACCCCAGAACTTGGGAGGCTGAGGCAGGAGGATTGCCATGATTTCAAGGCCAGCCTGGGCTACATAATGAGACTGTCTTAACCCCAGCCCAAAAAAGAAAAAAGAAAATGCAAACTTCTCAGGCCAGGAAAGATACTGTTCTGCTGTCCCCAGCAAGGATCTCTGGTGAGGCTTTAGGGTGTGGGCATGTGTCACTATGCATGTCACATAAGTACGCGTGACCTGCCAACAGCACATACTCCAAATGTCTAGAGGATGAGAGGCCTGGCTAGGCAACTACCGCTGAGTTTTAATTATTTCTTGAGCATTTTAGTTGCTTCATTTACACAACAAGGGTATCTTCCTTGCCTATCCCAGCAGTGGCAAGAAAACTAATTTTTTTTTGGACAGGTCTCACTATTTTATTCAGGCTAATCTGAAATTCATAAGCCTAAGTAATCCTCTGCCTCCACCTCCGGGGACACAGCCTCCTCACGCTTGGCTCTCGCTGGCCCTCTCTCTGCAGTGTATTTCTGGGGGAAGCAAATGTCTTCTCCTTTAAGGAAATTTCTCCCCTCTTCGTGGCCTCCTTCTTATCCGCCCGAGGGCGACGGAAGCGGGCAGGTCACTCCCGGGGCGGGCTTGCCCGGGGAAAGCGGCGCAGAGCTGAGGCAGGCAAGGATCCCAGAAGGGGAAAGGCCATGGCCATCCCGGCGGGCAGAGAACGGCTCAGAGTGGGAGGAAAGCCTTCAGCTTCGCCCACACAAGCCGGCAGCCTGTCTGTTTCCCACCTCAGCAGCCAGGCCCTTCCAGACTCTCCCTGTGCCAGGACGCCAGGGCAGCATGGGGGTGCTGAGCAGGATCTCAGCCTCGGCTTCCCCCGGTGGCTTTGGCGCAGCCGCCTCCCACACTGCTCTCATTTGGGCGGAGGCTCAGCTCGCCAGCAGCGTGTGGTCCCCGCTCACGGCCCCCGGCAGGACGCACTGGCCCAGGAGGACGGGAGGAGCAGCTGCGGCCGAAGAAGCTCACCGGGTCAGGGCAAGGAGAGGGACACCTTGTTTAGATGGGGAAGAAAATGTAAGATTTCAGCAGTTAAATGGCTTCATCAGCACACGGCTACTAAGCCTATGGAAATAAAAAAGCTATTTTCCATGAGGCAGGAGTTCAGATGTACCGTCTCTCAAGAGGGGGCTTTTTTTTTTTTAAAAAAAAGTTCTAACGAACGCAGCTGAGTCTGACCTGGCAGTGGAGGAGCACAAGGGACGAGCTGGCGTCTCAGGACACAGCCAGCAGAGCCCAGGGAGCACCCTTTTGGACATGTGACGCCAGGCCCAGCGCCATCAAAGACTGTCCTTCCTAGAGCCACCCAGCAGTGTCACAGAAGCCATCTGACTCCAAAGGAGCAGCTTTATTTGCTATCTCCAAGAAATGACAGGAAACATTAGCACGGGGTGCAGTGGATAAAACCCTGTCGTCCCAGTAGAGACTGAAAAGAAAAGGACTCTGAATGATCCCCGACCCTCTGCCCCAGCGATGCCGAGATGGCCCCTCGCTCACACAGGACTGATCCCGAGCGGGGAGACACTTTCCCCACCAGCCCCAAGCCACTCCGCACACTTTGCTGGTGTTGACGGAGTGACCTCCTTGTACGCATGTCCCGATAAAGGCTAATGTCCTTGTGACTTTACATCCTGACTCCCCTGCCTTGTGGGGACTGTCCCTGCCCTCTCTGTCCCTCTCTGAGAGATTGGGCCCATATACGGGGCTCAGGGAAAGAGCTGCAGGCCGCGGGAGCATTGCTTTTTATGGCTCTAGGCACTTTGTGGCTGAATCCAGTCCTCTGATAACCACGTAGCCTCTCAGCGCTGCTCCTTCTGACAGCTCCGCCTGAGGAGACACACGACCGGTCGCTCTCCGACACAGGGCTCACTGCTAAGGCCCGGGATCAGTGACAGTCCTTTGTCTCCAGTTAGCTCCTGTCCTGTTCCTCTCTGTATTCCCCTGCGTGGCTGGTTTCCCGGAAGAGATCAGCTGGTTTACGCTGAAGAAGTATCTGCCTTCCTGGGCCTCCATGGGGAAAAGTCTGATTAAGATCCACACCCGAGTCCCCGTTCAGCTCCGGCTGACTAACCACTGCCTTCGGCCCCTGAACGTGCGCATCCTGAGGATGGGGCCGCGGCTCCGGGGTAGGATCCTGCCGACTGTGTCCCCTGGCCCAGCGCGAGCCAGCTCTGGGCAGGGGAATCAGCTGGAGCACCTCTCAGGTAAAGGGAACGCCACTCTGCTTTGCTGGCCACTCACCCCATCCAGCCCGGACTAACAGGTGACAGCTGGCCTGGCAGTGGTTCCCGCGGGCGGGCAGACTGTCTTGCTCAGAACAAGTGTGAAGTGGGTGCATGATAGCCATGCAGGTGAGATCGCTGTTGAGGGAATAGAAGACTAACGTTTCCTGAGCGACAGTAGCGGTCGCACCTTCTGCTGGCAGCGCACACACCTGTGTTACCTCGTTCACTGAGAATACCAGCAAAGCAATGAGGGTGGCTGCTGTCGACCCTCCCCTTGACCTGTCCTCCTCTAATGTCACAGCACCTGCATGTCTCCTTCCCCAGCCAGCCCAGAGCTTACTTGTAGGCCAGACTGAGTTTGCACTGACGTTCCCGCTGGCAGCAGTTCTTCCCACTCTGGATGACCCGGCAGTCGGAGGCATCCTTGCAGGGGGAGGTCTTTGAGAGGGTGTCTGTCAGGTGGCCTGGGCTGGGTTCCAGAGGAAGGCGGCAGAAGAGTGCTTGGGAAATGAGCCCAGTCAGCAACACCATGACCGAGGCCTTAACGTTCATGTTATCAGTGACCCAGGACTCACTCCGAGACACATTTTTCTCCTGCCCCACACGCCAGTGGGGGCGTCAGGGAAGAAAACAAGAGGTAAAGGAGCAGCAGGAGCTCTGAAACAAGGGACAGGGCTCGTATTTCACAGCAGTGTCTTGGGCAGGCTGAGACCTAAATGGAAGAGGCAGGCGCAGGCCGCGGACTGAGTCCTTCCGGCCCGCCACCCCTCCCAAGTCCAGCTGGGGACAGTCTGCGATTCACATCCCCTTTCTTTTTCTACTTTTTTTTATTTTAAAGAGAATTTTTTAAAAAATAAAAACACTATAAAATCTTAAAACAAGATAGGAAGTTAACAATGGTTATTATATTGCATATTGTTATCTTCAAAGTAGGTGCTCAGATTACCAGATATAGGCATGTAAGACTGATCAGACAATGTAAGCACTTTCAATGAACTGAACTAATAGAAATTAGTAGCACAGTTATCTTAGCTAATATATACATATATTCCTTTTTTTCTCCCTTCTTCCATCCTAGTTTCTATTTCCTCTTTGAGTAGTTTCTTTCCCTTTCACAATATCTCTTACACCTTTTGGATCTTATTTACTCTTTCAGCTTCTTACACGTGTGTCGGGTTTATTTCACCTATGTATGGTCTCTAGTTACATTCATTTACCTATAAAACCTTCGAATTTATCTTTCTTTACAGCTGAGTAATACTCCATTGTATAAAAATACATCTTTTTTATCCATTCCTTGGCTGATGGGCATTTGGCTTGTTTCCAAGATTTAGCTATGACAAACTGTGCTGCTCTAAACATGGTGCACATATATTGCTGTGGTATGATGTTTTTCATTCGTCTGGGAAAATACCCAGAAGGGGAACAACTGGGTTGAATGAGACCTCTAATCCTAGTTTTTTGAGGAACCTCCACACTGATTTCCACAATAGCTGCCCCAGTCTACACTCCCACCAACAGTGGAGAAGGGTTCCTTTTTCCCCACAGCCCCGCCAGCATTTGTTACGGGTTGATTTTTTTTGATGACAGCCATGTTTTCTGGGGTGAGGTGGAATCTTAGCCTTGTTTTAATTGGCATTTCTCAGATGACCAATGTGGAACATTTTTTCATGTATTTATTTGCCATTTGTGTTTCTTCATCTGAGAAGTGTGTACTCATCTCAGATGCCATTTTTGGACTGGGTCTTTGAATTTTAGGCAGACCTCCTTTCAAATAGTGGCTAAAACCAGGGCTGAGATAGGACAAGCTGAATCTTTAACAAATTAGGCCAAAGCCATAAGCAAAAAGAAAAAAAACAGGGGCACTTGCAAAATGGTCAGTCTGACTTTTGCAGCTTCCCTGGTCGAGTTGTTGATGTCAGAACGGAGTGTGGCAGCCACCTGCACTGGTCGAGCAGGGTGTGCAGGGCAGAAGTCCAACACGCACGGGTGCTACTGGACAGCAAAGCATGAGTGGGAGCCCGAAAGCCCATTTATGTGCCTCTTGCCTTTGCAGGTCTCGAGTCCCTACGAGACAGTGCCCACTCTACCCCGGTGCGCTCATCGTCCCACGGGGACACCTTCCTGCCTCACGCGAGGAGCAGCCGAGCAGACAGCAACGAGCGAGTAGCTGTGATTTCGGACGAGGCCTACAGCCCCGCAGACAGTGTGCTGCCCACCCCTGTGGCCGAGCACAGCCTGGAGTTGATGCTGCTCTCCCGGCAGATCAATGGAGCCACCTGCAGCATCGAGGAGGAGAAGGAGTCTGAAGCCAGCACCCCAACTGCGGCAGAGGCAGAGGCGCTGGGAGGAGAGCTGAGGGCCCTGTGTCAGGGGCATGGCAGGCCAGAGGAGGAACAGGTGAATAAGTTTGTTTTAAGTGTCCTCCGTTTGCTCCTTGTGACCATGGGACTCCTCTTTGTTTTGCTCCTTCTCCTGATCATCCTTACCGAGTCTGACCTTGACATTGCCTTTTTCCGAGATATCCGCCAGACCCCCGAGTTTGAACAGTTCCACTATCAATACTTTTGTCCCCTCAGGCGATGGTTTGCCTGCAAAATCCGCTCAGTGGTGAGCCTGCTCATTGACACCTGAGAAGGCAGGACTCCTCCCAATAACTAGCCAGGTGGACGCAGGAGCCCGGCTACCCCCCCAGCAAGGGGACCATCGCGGAACCATCGGCACACACACCAAGTCCTCTCATGCCTCAGAGCCCACTGCAGCCTAGGAGGGGTGTTCCCAGGAGAAGAAAGGGATAGGCGCAGGCCCTGTCCACAAAACTGGGAAAACTCATTTTCTCCAGAGTTTCTCTCAAGAAAGACTCAGCAACCTATTTCTCATCCTTCGATTTGCAGGATAATTTTTGGTTTTGAATTTTGATTTTTCATAGATGTTATTTTGAAAGTATCAAATAAAAATAATTTATTTTACTATTACTCATTATCCCAGTGGTGTCCCCTAGCAGATGGAACGCTAACTGAAGACCAGAGAGCTGTTGTCCTCTGTGTCCCGCAGCAGCTTTCCAGCTGGTGCCACCGGGTCCGGGGAGACGCCGACCTGCAGCCGTAGCGGGGCAGGCCAGGGGTCCGCACGGTGGAGACTAGGTTTTCTTGCCAGAGAGAACTTTTAAAAAAATTAAACATCCGTGTAGAATGATTAAATGGAAAGTTGCTTCTTACGATGGTCTGAGTTGGATTTTTTTTTCCTTTTGTTTTTTCAAATCTGAGCGGAGTGGGCATCTGAAGGGACCACCGCCAAGCCAGCAGCAGCAGGGGTAGGGTAAGTCTGTCCCCTTAGACTAGAGCCCAGTGGCCTCACCATGTCATGAACAAGACTCTGTGATGTTCTCTGAAGAACCTCAAGACGTGAGAGAGTTCCAGGGCGGGAAATGAAGGCAGTGGTGCCAGAGAGGGTGCTGTCAGAGATGTCGCACAAAGTAGTTACAGACGCCAGAGCTAAGGGACCTGAGAAGGCTGGGGTGCAGAGCAGTGCTTACTTTGTATACAATGTGCCCCCCAACAAAAGACTGTCTCCATTTATATTTTAACAGCAAAATGTTATTTTCTTATCTCTTCATATTTTGTTTTTACTTTATGGATTAAGAAAATAGAGCCTGATGAACTAAACGATGCAAGAAACTGATCCTGAGACTGGAAAGCGTCAGAGAATAGGATTCCAAGATCAACACACAGCCTTGGAAGGGACCAAGAAAAGAATCTCTAAATAGGATTTCTAAGAGATGCTACAAAAGACAGAAGGTGACGGTGGCAGAGACCAACACTTAGATGTAGAAATGCTGCCCCCTAGGGTCACCCTCTGCGCTGGGAAATAAGTTCTAGAATGGCACCTGCCATCCAAGCTGAGGGACGGTAGCCTGGGAGCTCAGAGAGGCACAGGGACACCAGGGGCGGGTGGGACGCGAGCTCCCTCGGCCTGAGCTCTGCAGCACTTCAAGCCAGTCACACACAAGGTCTTGTTCTCATCTCAGGGAGAGATTTGTGTCAGCCAGGCCTGAGGACTTTTAAGGATGGTCAGTGGACACTCGAGGCCCACAGAAGTGAAGCACCTCCCAACACTGTATGATAATGGATGGGCCCAAAGGCAGAACAGGATGCATCACCTATAGATCTGATCTCCCCCAATGTGTCCCCCCAGATGGCAGAACCTTGTGCATGTCCAGAAGACAGCAGCTACAAACACGTAAGTGGGGGCAGGGGTTGTATCATTTTAAAGAAAGTAAAGTTACCCTTTGCATCAAGAGGTCAGTAAACTCCCCTGAAAAGCGCCAGATAATAAACATTTTGGTTTTGTGGGCCGTGCTCCGTTCCAACTACGCAGTTCTGCCATCATAGCACAAAAACAGCCACAGGTGAAGCATACACAAAGTGAACATGGCTGTGCTCAAATAAGGCTTGATAAAAATAGAAGTAGGCTGGATTTGGCCTGGAGGCTGTAATAAGCCAACCCTGATGGAGACAATAAAGCTGACCATATGTCAGCAGAAGAGGGTCGCCTCTGCTCCATTTCTGGCATGTGTTACAGACCCAGGACGGTTCCCCTGGGAACCGGGGCTGCTTGTTTACAGGGTGCTCCAACAACCAACCAGCAAAGATGCCAGCAGCCGAGATAAGCCAGAGCAAGCGCGAGAACACTAAAATGCGGCAAATCTAAGAACGGAGGTGGGCCTCTGATCATCCCCGTGCCACCAACGTTTGGGCAGAATCACAAACATCTATGTACCAAGTGACAGCAGAAACCAAGGGAGATCCTTGTAGATTAGGGATCAGTTAAAACCAACTAGCCACTGCCACTTGTCATCTACAGAGCGAAGGCTTTATTTAACACAGGACTAAAGTGAGAAATAGACCCAGAGATGGAAAGGCTGCCAGGAGATGGGGGCTGGGGTTAGCGTGGATCTCCACCGTCTTATGCAACATAGCAGGTGACCTTGTAGCGTAGCGCTCCTACCTCAGTCAGTAGAACACAGTCTCTCTGCAGTGAGTGATTCTCGCCTACCCACACGGGAGAGACGCGTAGCCCTGCGTGTGCTTCTCGTATCGAGTTGTGATAGTACAGTAGTCCACGTTCCAGCAGCCCTACAGAAACATTTGGGACATTTGTTCTTTCTAGGGCTTATTCCAGAAAATATGGATAGAGAAACTTCCTTCACTTCGTTTTTCATATAGTGCTTGAATAACAAACCTTTGTTGGCAACTAGTCTTTTTGGTGTCTCCTCACCATTAAAAGTTGTTCAAGTTTTTAATCTGGTTTTACTGTGTTCTATTGTCTCTTTGTTTTCTCTCAAAATTAGTTCTGTCTCACTGTAGAAAAAGAAATCGTTTCCGTCCTGTCCTCTATCAGAGGAAATAACTCTTACTGAAGAATAATGTACCACAGCTTGAAGCAGTAGAGGGTAAACTAACACAAATGTGAATTTCTTAGTTTCACTTACATAGTTGTTAACCTTTCATGTGCCAAAATATCTTAAATTACATTTTCCTTCAAAACAATGTACCTTTTTTCTACATGCAGTATGTAGTTAGCATAAAATCACTGGTGCCATGAAGATTATTTTTAAACTTAAATAAATATTTAAATACCATGGAGAGTGGGCTCTTTTTTTAACTCTATAGCTTGTCTCACTTTATCAAATGTTACTCGCACACAGGTAAAAGGGTACCGGTGGGATTCACTCAGCCAGCTGCTGTTCACAGCTAGGATCATAGAAAATAACGTTGTGCTTCTATCTGTTCATTATCGCCTCCCGCCCCACTGAGAAGCTACAAGTGGGGAATGATTTCAAAGATGAACTGGTCCTCATTTTTCTGAGAAGGAAAACCAAGCAGGTTAAATGATTTTCCCAAGATCATGCAAAAGTGTTTGCTGATGGAGGATTTAAATTTTTGTCTCCAAAGCCCCAAACTCTTCGCTTTCGTGGAGAGTTCCCTGCAAAATCTCTGTGACAAGGAAACTCAGTGGCCAGAATGCTGCAACAGGACCGAAGAGCTCACGCCCTGTTCATTCCTGATCATCTGTAGCCACTCCTCGCCTGGCCACGGGTCTAGTCTGACCATCCCACACAAAATGAGAACTATCTGCTTTGCTGAAAGTCACACAGCACAAGGCGTCCCTCGAACAGCTCCAGAGGAGCGCAAGCTTACATGTACATGCAGGAGAAAGATCACAGAGGCCACGCTGAAGCACACCACGGGGAGGGGGCAGCCGTAATCCGCACAATTACAGAGCCCACACCGCTGTAAACCTCTCCAGAAGTGCCTTTCACTACAGATGACAGCGAAAGCGTGTCCTACGGGAGACAAGTTTCCCTTATGTGCTTCCTAGATTTACATAATTACACCATTATAAAGCTTATCACCAAGAAGCAAGTCCCTATTCTCCTTCCTGCATTCAAGAAGATATCACTCTATTAAGTGACACTGGATAAAAACAGCAGAGTTTATGAAGCTGCAATGGCAAAAGAAACCACAAAAGTGAGAAACGCTGAGAACATGCTGTTCATTGCAGGGGCCGGGCACCTACTGCCAAGTATGATAGGGATCGGAGAGTAGTTAGCGTCTTAAAGAACAATTCCCAGCTGAGCAGGGCAGCCCACTCCTGTAATCCTGGTACTCATAAGAGGCTGAGGCAGAAGGATCCCATGTTGCCCAATCTGGGCAACTCAGTGCCTCAGTGAGACCCAGCCTCAAAGTGAAAAAGGGGCTGCTGCCACAAAGGGAGGTAAACTGAGACACTCAGAGTGAACGGGTACAACTTGGGACCCTAGTATCAAATAAGAAACACAAGTTTAAGTATTACATGGTTTCTTCTATGTAAGAAACTCAATATATAGATGATAGGTGAGATAGATGACAGATGGACGGTGCAAAATAGAAGATAGCTAAATAAGTAGGGAAACTTTCAAATGGGGAGGAACCAAGAGCTGGAGGGAATGGAAGAGTAGGAGATGAAAAAAAAAAAGATGTGTTATGTACCTACACCAACTCCCCACAATCAATGTAATACACATATATATAAAAATGTTAAAATGAATTAAATATTGCTAATAAAAATGTAAAAACTAAAAAGGGTGATGCAGCTCAGCGTTAAGGTCATGGGTTCAATCCCAAGTATTGCAAACAGTAATTCCCACAGAACTAACCAGTCTAAAATCTGTGAAATTAATTGGTACCGAAAAGGGAAGAAATTTAAGCCTCTCGAGATGGTTTAAATGTCTCAGCCAGGCAGGGAGGTAGCCCAGTGGTAGAATGCTTGCCTAGCACACTCGATGGCCCAGTCTACTTACCAGTACTGCCAAAAAAGTACATGCACTGCGACTCAGGCCTGCTTGTCGGGACTTCCCACCTCGTAACATTTCCTTCGCACTTACCAATCCCTTGATCACATCAATTAGGAAAGCAGAGAATGCCCACTTCTTATAAAGACACACAATCTAACAGCAAACACCTCAGAACACTCAGATTTTAATCACATAGAAGAAAATCACTGGGGAAAAAATTATTCTTCAAGAAAAATAACCATCACTTTATTTCTGATATACAATTATGAAAAGATATTTCCTTTAATCCACACATAGTGCTGAAGCTATTTACAAAGCTTTCAGTAGTACTTCTGACAGTGAACAGTGGAGAAGTTGATCGATGTCACACATACCAGCCACCGATTTAGCAGCACCCCTCCCCAACAACAGACACCGGGGTCACCATAACTTCTGAGAAGAAACAATTTCAGAAATATCAAAAAAAAAGAAATATCAAAAATGATGAATATGTCAGAACATTTCCCCAAAATATGAGTCAAAATAAAAGTATTCACATAACAAGTTGCTGAATCTCCTCTGGAATTGAAAGACAGGCACATATAAGGCAATCAGAGACATTAAGGCAGTAAGCTTTTACTTTTAACAAAAAAATACATTTTACATCAGAAATACATAAACATACACGCCTACATATTTATGCATATGAAACTGTTTCACCAGACAATATTTATTCTAATCATGTTTTCTGTTCTTGTGGCATTTGTTTGGAGACAAAGAGTCCCACTATGTAGTCTAGGCTGTCGTTGAACACAGTTTCCTGCCTCAGCCTCCCAAGTGTTGGCATTACAGGTGTGCACCACCACACCTAGCTTCCCTCTCATTTTTAAACACTAGCCCTGAAGAGCTAAGCTGCTTCTCTGGAACACTGTCTACAGGCAGACGGGTGCTGGAACAGGGTTCTGAACCCTGTGCCTCAGAGCCCTGGAATCCTGGGCTGGGTCGTGGCAGCTCCCCGCACAGATCCTGCCTGCAGTGAACCAGGCTCCCATCAATTACCTGAGGACGTCACTCGAGGTTTCACTGAGAGGCTGGGCGCACAAAGAAGTTCTCAGATACAAAAACTAGGTTTCTAAATCACTGAGTTAGATGACCTTTTAGGACCCCTTCCAATATATGGATCTAGAAATAAATAATTCACTTCAAACTGTAAAACAAACCACAAATCTATCTATATATCACTACAGAATCTAAACCGTATCACCAAAAAAGTTAATACCAGTCACTCAGAGCTTTACAATCTGTCGTGCTCGAGTCTCTCACCACGCTGCCTAATGAAAAGTGCTGATGGCCTCCGACCTCTACTCAGAGTCCCTGCCCATCCACAGGAACAGCTCCGAGGCTTCTGTTTTACTAAAAGTACATTCTGCTCAGTGCTTTGTTTTTTGTGTTTTTCTTTTTGTTTTGTAGTACTAGGGACTGAACTCAGGCAGGACTTTTGCCCTGAGCTATATCCCCAATACTTTATTTTTTAAGACAGTCTTACTAAGTTGCCCAGCCTGGAGAACTGCTAAAACTTGCAATCCTCCTGCCTCAGCCTCCCAGTGTCCTGAGATTACAGGTATGCATCACAATATCCAGCCATGGTTCTTATTCATAAAGCAACTATGTATTTACTAATTGTAACACATAACCAAGCACACACATGAAGCCACAGGAATCCCAGGTTCTTTCAACAATGACCAATCTGAATAAACAGGTGAGCCTACGCCAGAAACTCAGAAGCTTCCTGGCTTCATGAAAACATGCAGCCGCCCACTGGAATTCCCGCCGGCCAGGACATAGCGGGTAGGGTGCATGGCATTGATGGAGCACACGGAGCCGAGGCACTCCCCTCGAAGAGAGTGCACGGCCTTTCCTGTCTCGTGGAAGACCTCTACCCGTCGGGGTTGGGCCATGCTGCCAACAATGATGCAATCTTCCTGTTTAGGGTCCCACACGGCCTGGAACCTGGTTAGCCATCTCCCGGTGATAGTGTTGTGCCTAGTCAGGGGAAAGGGGTATTTTGTTCAAGTAAATGCTAAATAACTCAAGGCACAAGGTAAAGGTGACCTTGTTCCTAAACACTAATTTTCTCTTCATGAGAAGTTTTCCACAAGCCTCATCTTGTCTTCCAGTAAGACTATAAAAGCTCAGGACAGAGACAACATCTTCCAGCTCTGGACCTCACTGGTTTGTGCTCAGAGGGCAGCTGATCACAAAAGTCTGTGCCATAATGGGACTTTGGTTTGGTTTAGTTTTTTATTTTTTAGAGACAGTACCACTACATAGTCCTCACCAGGTAATCTAGGCTGGCTCTGAACTCAGGGCAGTCCTCCTGCCTCAGCCTCCCAAGTACTGGGATTGCACGTTTGTGCCACCACGCCCAGCTTTGGTACTTCTTTTGTTCACTGCTCCTAGCTCAATGTACAAGGTAGATTTTTTTGTGGGAAAACCCCCCTTTTTATAAGTATATCTGAAGAGAAGCCCTAAAAATAAACCTATATGCTAGGTTGTTACTTTAACAAAATGTGCTATCTCCTCTATTTATATTCCCCTGATAACCAAACATTTTATATTCCATACAACTTTAACATCAAAAATACATGTAGGACTCTGGAGACAAACGAAAATGATATCCTGAAATGTGTGGGACACAGTGAGAACAGCAAGGCTAGGAAAGCTCAGAGTGATAAATGCTTACCTTAAAAAAGGAAGACCTCACACCAACCAGCTAACTACAGAGCTCAGAGAGTTACCAAAAGAACAAATTAAATCAAAAGTTAGCAAAAGGAAGAACAGAAATAAACACTAGCACTGAAACAAATGAAACAGAGAATAGAAAAACAATAGAAAAACATCAGGTAAACTAAGTGCTAGCTTTTCAAAAAGATCAACAAAAATGATAAGCCCTTAGATAAACATACAAAAAGAAAATTTAAATAAATGAAATCAATGATAGAACAGTACAGTTGATGCTACAGAAATAAAAAGAATTCTAAGAAATACTATGAAGAGGCCAAGGATATAGTTCAGCGGCACAGTACCTGCCTACCAAGCTCAAGGTCGTGAGTTCAATTCCCGGTAACAAAAAAATAAATAAATAAATAAAAAAGAATTATACACAGGGCCAGGGATATAGGCTCAGCAGCATAAGCGCCTGCCTGGCAAGTGCAAAGTCCTGAGTTCGATTCCCGGTACCAAAAGAAAAAAAGAATTATATCAAACTGGATAACCTAGAAGGAATGAACAAATTCCTAGAAGCACAACTGTTTATTTAGGACTTGTTCCTAAATAAACAGAAAATCTAAACAGACATATAATTAGAAGTTTGAAGCAGTAATCAAAATCTCCCAACTGATGAATGTAATCACTATGTACTACAAACATATACACCTAATAAAAATACCCCCCCACCCCATCCCCCACCAAGCCCAGGGCATTATGGCTTCCCCGAAGAATTCTACCAAACACTGTAAGAACAGCAGTGCTCCTTAACGGGCTTGCAGGAACCAAGGAGGAGACACGCCCACACTCATTGTTTGAAGCCTGCATTAACTGTGATAACAAAACCAAAGAAAAACACGAGAGAAGAACTATAGACTATTATCTTTAATGCATACTGATTCAAAAACCCTCAACAAACAGCAAACCAAACTCAACAACACATTCAAAGGATGATAGATACACTGTGATCAAATGGGATGACTCACTGTAACAAAAACCAACATAACATACCACGCTAGCAGAATAAAGGACAGAAAAACACACAATCATCCGAAAGGAGGCAGTAACACCCCTTCAAGATAAAAATACTCAATAAGCCTGGCATGGTGGCGCATACCTTTGATCCTAGCTACTCAGGAAGGTGAGGCAGGAGGCTCACAAATTCAAAGCCAGCCCAGGCAACTTAGCGAGATCCTATCTCAAAATAAAAATTGGGAGGAAAAGGGCAGAGGTGTAGCTCAGTGGCAGAATTCTTGCCCAACATACATGAGGCCCTGGGTTCAATCCTCAGTACCACCAAAAAAAAAACAAAACAAAAACAAAACAAAAACATCATATAATACAAGGAAACTATCTCACTAAAACAAAGGTTATGTAAGAAAAGCCCACAACTGCCTGGTGCAATGGCACATGCCTATAATCCCAGTATTCCGGGGGCCGAGGTAGGAGGATCACTGTGAGTTCAAGGCCAGCCTGGGCTACATAGCAAGAACACTGTCTCAAGAAACCAAAACAAGGGAAAAAAAAAAGAGAAATTAGAAGAGGAAAAGCCCACAACTGGCACACTAAGTAGTGAAAGACTGAAATAGTTTCCTCTAAGATCAGGAATGGGCAAAGCTGCCCTCTCTCACTACTTGTATTCAATACAATACTGAAACCTAAACCAGAACAATGATACCAAAAAAAAAAAAAAAAGACAATGGGGAAGGGCAATTATCTCCGCAAATGACATGACATTTCATGTAGAACACCCTAGAGTCCATACATTTAAAAAAAAAAACACTTTAATAATTTCAGCAGTTACAGGCTACAAAATAAAAGTCAGTGTATTTAAAACAAAGGCCACTGTGCCCTCTCTTGCATGGCGACCCACCCTCACACTACAGTGTGCAACTTCTTTTCCTACTTTTACTTGGCCCAAATTTGCTCTGCGGAGCCTGTTTCTTTTTCTACTTTCAGTAAAACTTTGCTATAAAAAAACTTAAAAGAGCAATATAAAAGATAATAAAAACCAGGAGATAAATCTTTTGCAAAAGGAAAGAATCTCTAGAGAGAAGAGGATGAAAAACCATTAAGATGTGTTATGTACATGTACCAACTCCTCAATGTATTATAAGCATGCACTAATAAAAATTAAAATGTTTTCAGAATCGGTATATTTAAAACAAGTGTGGTGGCATCTGCCTGCCAGTGAGGGATCTAGGTTCAAGCTCCCGCATGGGGTGGGGGCAGGGGATGGGGACAGAACAAACTTCATACACATGCCCAGGAGCAGATGGAAGAGGGCAATCAAAGAAAAGAAGCAGGAAGCCACCAAAGCCCAGTAGAAATAGGCACAAAACACAGTGCATGGTGAGACTTCTCTGCAAGAGAGCAGTTACAATCTTCTCTAATACGGTAACCTGAGTAATTCAGGTCAGAATAAGTCATTAACCTTAACCAAAAATAGCCTCCACTTTTACAGAACAGAGATTAACACAGACTGGAGCTCTTTACAGGGAATCTGGAGGCAAGAGCTCTTCCACAGGAAACTGGCAAGCTAGGGCACTTACAAGGTATGGTCAAAAGATACATGGGGTTTAAACTTTTTTACATCTGCTGTAAAAGACCTAATGCCAGGCCTGGTGTGGTGGTGGCACACGCCTATAATCCCAGCACTTGGGAGGCTGAGGCAGGAGGATTGCTGCAAATTTAAGGCCAGCCTGGGCTACACAGTGAGTTCAAGGCCAGCCTGGACTACA